CTCCAATGAACCACCAGAAAACTAGAAGTGGAGCTGTGGCTCAAGTGTTAGCCTTGAGCAACAAGAGCTCAGGGAAAGCAACCAGGCCCCAAGTTCAAGTCCCCTCCGCTGAAGTCACAATTTCTTTCTTTCATTTACTAAATTCTACTTCAACTCCATCTCCAAACACCTAACCTCCACCTACACATGAATTTACTAACATCCTACTACAAATTAAATGTGCTACTACCAAAAGTTGAAAAAAAAGGAATCATTTTCTCTTTAGGGAAGAGGACCAAATCAGTAGATATACAATCTTCATTAACCTTTTTTTTCTTTTTGCCAGTCCTGGGGCTTGAACTCAGGGCCTGCACAATGTCCCTGAGGGTTTTTTGCTCAAGGCTAGCACTCTACAACATGAGCCACAGCACTACTTCTGGCTCTTTCCATGTAGGTGGTACTGAAGAATCGAACTCAGGGCTTCATGCATTCAAGGCAAGCACTCTACCACATTCCCAGCCCCTAACAAAAATCTTTAAATGTAAACATTCAAAGGCAAACAGGTAAGTTTAACACTGAAGCTTAAGAGAACACAGTAAAAAAAAAAAAAAAGTGATTTTAATTAGAGCAAGAGTTAAGAACAGGCTACGTAACTGTCCCCTGTAAGTTCGGCCCAAAACAATGGCAAACATTCCCTAAGTTGGGTCCTTGTGAAAGGATTAACAGAGAACCTTTTTTTGGTAAATAGTTTTAATTTGCTTTGTTTAAAAACAAAATCCTAAGACACACTGTACACATAGCTTTTAAAACCTGGGAACACGACATATTTTGCAGTTGTAAACATGGATGCGCGCCATGCTGTAATTGGTCAGGTCCTGTGATGGAAGGGAATTAACCATGAAACTTGTTTCCCAATATTCTTTTCTTCCTAAACCAAACAAACAAACAAAAAGCTACCTAAGTTCAAATGGGAAATGGGGGAGGGGCTGGAAGCCCATCCCAAGTTCTCAAATCTAGCATAAACACATACATAATAAACATAATTGAACCATCTTGATTCTAACAGTAATTGAACCAAAGCTGGGTTTGGTTTCTGGTTCTTTAAACCCATTCAGGCCATCCATGCTTTGAAGGGAGTTTCATGAAGGCACGAGCAAAGACAAGGTCAACTTCCAACAATCCTCTTGACTTGAATAAGTCGCCACTACAAAGATTACAAAGGGAAATGTTGCCCCCCAGGCTGCTATTTTTCCTTCAGTCATGTGTTCACAAGCAAGCCTACCAGTGAGGCCCAGATCCCTCACCACAAAGGGTTTTCTCCATCCCTCCCCCCTCCAATTCCTCCCATTTTGGTGCCATTACTGGAGCTTAAACACAGATCTAAGGCTGTGGCTTGGCTTTGTCACTCAAATGCTGCTGCTCTACCACTTGAGCCACAGCTCCACTTCTAACTTTTTTTGCTGGCTAATTGGAGATCTCAACACCTTTTCTGTCCAACCTAAAGATCTGTTTCCTCAAGTTGGGATTACAGGCACCAGTCACCACCAGTGCCTAACTGTAATATAGGGTGCTACTGTCATTCCTCATGGGACCAACTCCCATAATGCATTGCTGTTCCTAAAGAGTTGGTGGAAGGTCCTCACCCTAATTGTATATCTTGACTACTTTTACTTTATTAGACAGTCTGCTAAAATCCTATGCTCAAACCAATGTAGAGTTCCTTCCTTAATAAGGTCCAACAGTGCTAAACTGAAGACAACAATTTGTAATCTCATCTGAACGCGGGTTCTTTCAAATAGCACAGAAGTGACCCGATTCCAAGACAGCTTTAGCTCTGTAGATTTGAAATGTGATCACCTCAAGTCATTCAACATAAACTAGTCTACAAACCTCAGCTTCCTACAAAATTCAAAGTGCAACATTTTCAATGAAATGACTAAATCCTTATAAGGGTTTTCCTATTTGAAAAGTGAAGGTGAGCATAATACAAGTTTATGAACTCACCTGAACTGTGCTATCCTAAACCTCATTACCACCCACTTCCAGACTTCAAGTATTTTTGGGTTATCTATCTACCAAACTAAATGAGAGACAATTCAAAAACGAAGTACTATTTTGTGTGATCACACTGAATTTGCAAATATCAAAAGGAGACCCACAAAGTCCAATTTCAACTTATTTTTTTTTTTTTTGGATCAGTCATGAAACTTGAACTCAAGGCCTAGGCAGTCTCTGAACTCCTTTGCTCAAGGTTACTGCTCTAACCACTTTGAGCCACAGCCCCACTTCCAGTTTTCTGGTGGTTAGAGATCAGATTCTTAAGACTTTCCTGCCCAGGCTGGCTTCAATCTGTGATCCTCAGACCTCAGCCTCTTGAGTGGCTAGAAATACAGGTATGAGCCGCCAGCACTTGGCTCAAGTTCAACAGTCTCAATTGTTTTAAAGACAATTAAAAATGCAAACTTTCGCCACTGTCTCTCCAACTTAATTTCATACCCTAATGTCAAATGGATGCAGGAGACATACAGAAAAAGCATGTATTTTTCTAAGAGGTCATTGAATGTCAACTCAATTCCTTTTGGGAAGAGAATTTACAAATCCATTTAGAATTTTCTTTTTTTTTTTTGCTGATATGGGCTTGAACTGAGGGACTCAAATTTTCTTGGCTTGGTCACTTGAACCATACCTCCAGCCTGGCATTTTGCTTGGTTATTTTAGAAGATGGAATCTCATTGGCTTTTCTGCCTAAGCTGACTTCAAATTCTCAATTGTTTGGATCTCAGCCTCCTGAATAGCTAGGATTACAGATGTGAACCACTAGAACCCAACTTTTTTTTTCCCCCCCTATGTAGGCCCTGAACTTACTACTTTCTGAAATTAACAGGCTTGGGCCAGTTGAGAATTAAAGTGTTGTAACTTAAAACTGTGGTTGTAGCTCATTTTCCAAAGTTAAAATATATACATACATATATATGTATATATACATATATATATATGTATATATACACACATATCTCCCACTACTCCCTGATTAACAGCTGAATTAGAACATAGGAAAACAAGCTGACTAAGATCTTAAGAGACCCATTAAACCAAACTAATCTTAGCAAGTAACATGGGTCAAGGGACTTAAGCTCATTAGCAAAGACCACTGGACCATTCCTATCCATGAAACATGTTAAGCTCTGAAAAAGCGGAACATGACGACCAGCTGTTGCTAGAATAGGAAATATGACTTTCTTGCGTTTACTTCCTAGCTGTGTGAATGCGTGACCTCTGAACTCTAATGTTTGATCTATATGCGGTAAGACAAAGCATGGTACTTGGGACTGTTAGCAGTGCTAACCTTAAGGTTCAATTCAATTGTGCAGGTCCAATGCTATTCAAACCCTGTGATCGTCCCATTTTGATGACTCGTTCATCTTTTGTTTTCTGAGATTATAGCATAAATCCCTCAAGTTATCAGCAGAATCTGGTGTACACTTACTACTCCACTTCTACCTTTTTATGAGTATGCTAGGCATCCTGGGACTTGAACTCAGGGCCTGGATGCTGTCCCTCCATTTTTGAGTTGTTTAAGGCTAGTGTGTTCTACCACCTGAGCCACAGCTCCACTTTTAGCTTTTTTCCTGGTTCATTAGAGATAAGTTCTACGGACTTTTCCTTTGAACCATGATCTCAGATCTCAGCCTCCTGAGTAGCTAGGATTATAGGCCTGAGCCACCAGTGCCCGACTAAACTCCCCATCTTTTAAATAAGTACCTAACCCGGGCATACACATACTTCATACAATAATCAGGAGATTAATTACCTAGGACAGGTGTTACTGCCCACCTGTTATGTAGGTGAGATAGGATTTCAAAAATAAAAGAAATCCTGTCCCACACATTTCCTGTCCCACTCAGCAAAAGACGCGAGACCAGTGGTTGATTCACTTTTACAGCCAATAAATATTAGGGATGAGTCACCTTCTGAAATCTGATATTACCCAATGCCCTCTATGGGACCTGAGAAAGATACCCATTGGAAAATCACTACATCTAGTTAGTGACCTTAACCTTCAGTTTTAATATGGAGAAAAGTAATTGCTAGGTTATCCGTATTTGTGTGTGTGTGTGTCCATACTGGGCCTTGAACTCAAGGATTCACACTCTCAATTTGACTTTTTGCCCTCAGTGCTGGGCGCTCTACCACTTAAGCCACAGCTTCAGTTCCAGCATTTCTGTGGGTTGCGTGGAGGTGTCATTAAGAGTCACTGGGTTTTGACTGCCCAGGTTGGCTTTGAATCTCAATCCTCAAATCTCAGCCTCTTGAGTAGCTATGACTACACAAGGTGTGAGTCTCACCAGCATCTGGCTAAGGTAATCTATAACTTATAATCTTGAAATAAAGATTATGATTTTAAAAAAAAAGATTTTTTTTTAAGACAGGTTTTATTGTGGGCCTAGGCTATCTGAATTCTTCCTGCCTTTGCCTGTCCAATAGCTGGTGTTCAAGGTGACTTTTTTTTCCACAAGTAATTCAGGCTATCTTACCTTTCCCCTTCACCACAAGCTTAATATAAGCTACCAAAGCCCAAGTTGAATCCCTTCCAACGATTCCTGGCCTGGACCCAATAAAGTTCGGATAACCCAAGTTAAAAGGACAATTATTTACACTGAATTAAAAAGCAGCTATGAGATTCAGGTACCTAGGATTCGTCATGTGAAGTATGATAATGTCACACTTCATTTTAGTCTCAACTAACCCTTTCACAGTAAATCTACACTGAAGTTTCCCATGAACAGCAAAATAAAACATTGCTATTCCTATGTACACTATTTGCAAATGACATCCTGAATGCGAGCTATTAAGCAAAGTTCAATTTGACAAGCTGCTCTGTCCCTGGCTTAGTCGTGAAAAGTGATTACACACAGGTTTGTTTCACACGTGTGCAAACAGAACCTGCAACCCATTTCACACACTGTACACATCAGAGGGCAGGCTTGGGAAAAGATGACATTATTGCTATATTGCCAAGATTTGAGTTTCTTCCAGAAATACTTTTAATAAAAATTGGCCGTTTCCAAGAAACACCCACTGCATGCCCATTCATAGAGAGAACCATAACAAAATAGGAAATTCACCATATGGCTATGATTTCAAAGGAAACATTGTAGACACTCAAGCATATTGGCAAGGTGCAAGAGTCAAGTCACAGTCTTTCTTCTGGGCTATGATTAGGAATCTGATACCAAAATAAAACTTAATACAAATGCTGGGCTAGGTCAAAGAACCCCACAGAAGCATCTGTTCTCAAGGCATTCCAGTTTGAGATTCGGTTTTGAGAATAAGGCATGACAAAGGTTTAAGTAAGAGAAGACATACAAGGTGGGTGCGTTTCTACCATTCCCCACAATCCTCTGAACCTGATAAAGCAAATCTAGAATTTGTTATTCTTTTTCTTGAAAACAATCACCAAGACTGAAATAGAAGATAAATAGAAGGCACAACAGTTTTGCTCTGGTTTTTCAGATTTGGGGGAATTTTGTTTGTTTTCTCTCTTGTATTTTTTTTTCCTTTTTGTTTTTTTTTTTTGTTGTTGTTGTTATTTTTTACAAATACAAACTAAACATGAAAAACGCTACCTGGAAAAATGTAGTAGTTCAAGAAAAATCTCAGTTGCATTCTAGACATTGAAAACCTACCTCAAAATTTAAATTTCAATGGTCAAAACAGTAGGTTGTAGACTTGTTTGGTGATCACATATCCAAAGGAAAAAAGTTCTATTAACACCTTTTATTCAAGACAACCATAGCAAGTGAGAATCAAACTTGTCAAATTTTCCAAATGGCAATTTTTCCACATCAGAAGGTAGTCAGGACTCAAGGAACAAATTGGATTGTTTTTTCCTGCCTCCAAAATGTTTATCAAATCCTGTATTTGCCACAGGTATTGGAAATAGGTAGAAAATAAGAAATATTCCAATGAATGAAACATACCAAATGTCAGTAATAAGCAAGACACATTCCTTTGGGGAAATGGCTGTTTAAAAAAAAAAAAAATCCAGTCCGTATATGCAAAGTAAGCAAGGAAAACCAGTCTGTTTTTCTTCTTCTTCTTCGTTAAAAATCCGTCACTCCTAGAATCTCATTCCACAAAATTGGAAGTGAAGGACTAAAAGGTCAGGAGAGGAGAGGGGAGGGGAGGGAAGGGAAGGGGGCAGATACCCTAACACAAAAAGAAATAAAATTGTACAAACTTAGCAGTTTATAATAGACTAGGGTCATCAAACTCCAGGATACCAGAGGCTGGCTGAAGAAATCCACCCTTCTGTAGGCGCTGGGGTTGGTGTGCTGTGCGGAGCCCATGGAGAAGCCTTCACTGTCTGGGAGCGATGCCCCTTCCCACTCCGAATCCTGGTTTGGGCACCAGGCCTCCCCGGGGCGGGCCTCTCATGCCCCCGCCCAGCCCACCTCGAGGGCCGCCGGGCCCCCGCAGGCGGTTGTCCCGGCGATCGCCTTCTCGGGCCGCCCGCGTCTTCTTCTCCTCCACGTTCAGACGGACTTCACCTCGAAACATGATGGGCTGCAAGAACCAAGGAACAGACTGACTCTGGAGGCTCAGAGGGCTAACAGATTAGATTATTATTATATGACATGGAATTATATATAATCTAGTAGATGTAATATAGAAGTAGCAGTACTATTATTTAGATACATATTTATATGTATTTTTAAATATATACATATGAAAACATACAAGTACTTAAATTCAGCTATAGAGAAATATGTACTTCTATTTATATAAATGTATAAATATAAAATGTGTCTAGATATAGAAATCGATATAGATTTGTGTAACTATATCTATATATTTACTTGTTATTAGATGTAATATATAGCAGTACTGCTATTCCTATATATTACATCTAATAAATAATAGATAGCACATATTGATAGGATATGCAATAGATGGTATATACAGGACATCCATATGTATGGTTGGATACATAGGATTAAATGTATAGATATAGCTATCTATCGATGTATGTCAGAAAGAACCAGCAATTCTCAAACCAAACTTGTGTTCACTTTCTAGCTTTTGTTTTGAATTCAGAAAGCCTGTCAGCCTATTAACTATTGCATGGAGTAGTTAGGTATTCAGGATGAATCAAGTCACGAGGGGGTAAAACTGATTGGAATGCAGCAAAACATGTTGAAAGATGTAACAATGAAATCCCCCTTGTATAACTGATATAAGCCGATTTTTTTAAAGCCCATTTAATAGTCTCACAATGCATGCAATACTCACTGTATTGACTCAATGAAATCCTATGTAAAAACAAAATAATATTAACTATGAACCTTTCTCCATGGGTCTTGGAGGCTTACTTGAGATAAAAAATATCATCACGTGGTGGGCGCCGGTGGCTCATGCCTCTAATCCTAGCTACTCAGGAGGCTGAGATCTGAGGATCAAGCCAGCCCGGGCAGGAAAGTCCATAGGACTCCAATAAACCATTAGAAAACCAGAAGTGGTTCTGCAGCTCAAGTGGTAGAGTGCAAGCCTTGAGCTGAAGAGCGCAGGGACAGTGCCCAGGCCCAGAGTTCAAGCCCCATGACCCACCAAAAAAAAAAAAAAAAAATCATCATGTATTTAAAAGATGTCACTGGGGCTGGAAAGGTGGCTCAGTGGTAGAGCGCTTGCCTTGCAAGCCTGAGGCCCTGGGTTTGATTTCTCAGTACCACATACACAGAAAAAGCCAGAAACAGCACTGTGTCTCAAGTGGTAGAGTGCTGATCTTGAGCAAAAGTTCAGGGACAAATGCCCAGGCCTTGAGTTCAAGCCCAGGACTGGAAAAAAAAAAAAAAAAAGTCACTAAAATGACCTATAAATGACCAACAAAATGTCTAGAGGATTGCAATGAGGTCAGGAAGACAGAGACAGAGACTCAGAAGGACTATGCTATGCAGCTATTTTTGTGTTTGCTCTCTGATGGGAGACTTTCATCAATATAATAAAATAAAGACCAAGGAGGAAATCTGGAGAATAATTCCTAGGCAGGAAGGCCTTTTAATAATGGTCAGATGCATTAGCATAAATTAACTTTACATCTAATACACAGATTGGAGGATGAATACAAAATACAGCCAGCACTGGTTGGTGGCTCACACCTGTAATCCCAGCTACGTGTGGAGCTGGGATGGGGAGGATCTTGGTTTGAAGTGAACCGAGGTAGCTTCAATTTCGAGGCACCTGCCACCCCAACTGTGACAGCATCAATCGTGGATCGTGGCTCAGGTGCACATTCGGGCAGGAAATGAGACTCACTCAAAATGGGGCCAGAGGCATGACTTAAGTGGTAGAGCACCAGCCCAGAAAACATGAGGTCCCGAATTCAAAGTGCAGTACAGCCAGGCACTAGTAGCTCCACTGTGTGATCCTAGCTACTTAGAAGGCTGAGACCTGGAGAATCTTGTCAAAGCCAGTCCCAGTAGAAGTTTATGAGATCCTACCTGCAGTTAAACTAGCAAAATGCCAGACTGGAGGTATGGGTCAAGTGCCAGCTAAGAGCAAGAAAGTGGATTGAGAGCTCCAGGCTCAGCATGCACATGTGTACATGTATGTGTACACACACACACACACACACACACACACACACACACCTTTGCTCCTCCCCCTCCCCCAGCATACTGGGGATAAAACCCAGGGTCCTTCAGCATGCTGGTCATGCATTCTACCAATCAGCTAGACACACTTAAAAAAAAGGAGGGAAAGAAAAAAATTAACCCAGAAAAACCACTTACCCTGTTGCTAAGGACCTTCTGCACAGGTTCAGAGTCATCGAACACAACAAAACCAAAGTTGGGCAGCTTGCCACCGCTGTTAATGCGCAACTCCACCACGTTCCCATAGTCTGCAGGGGAAGAGGATTTGCCATTAGTAGCAGAACACTCCAGCACCCATACGCAGAGAACAACATGGCTGGTAGGAACATGCATACTGAGACATACCCTGAGGAGAAAAACCACAAGACCGGCTATTTAAAAAAAAAAAAAAAGAAAAAAACGAAAGCTAGGCCAGGGCTGGTGGCTCACGCCTGTAATCCTAGCTACTCAGGAGGCTGAGATCTGAGGATCCAGGTTCAAAGCCAGCTTGGGCAGGAAAGCCCTTGAGACTCTCTATCTCCAATTAATCACCAGAAAACTAGAAGTGGCACCGTGGCTCAAGTGGTAGAGCGCTAGCTTTGAGCTGAAGACCAAGGACAGTGCCCAGACCCAGAGTTCAAGACTGGCAACCGACAAAACAACAACAACAACAAAAATCAGTTGCAAAAGCTGCAGCAGTGGCTCACACCTGTAATCCTAGCTACTCGGGAGGCTAAGAGCTGAGGAGCGGTTCAAAGCCAGGCAGTCAGGAAAAGTCCATGAGATTCTATCTCCCATCATTCATCACTAAGCTACAAGTGGAGCTGAGTGAGGCTCAAGTGGTAGAGCAGTAGCTTTGAGATACAGTGCGCAGGCCCCAAGTTCAAGCTCTATGACCAGTAACAAATAAAAAATAAGTTAATAAAAGATGCAAAGTACAGGTAGGAATATCCCTCCGCTGCAATGCGAGGGCCAGAATTACTTCAACCCTTCAGGGTTTCTTCCCATTTCCTAGCATTGGCCACTTTAGGGGTGGATTCTAAGTCAAAACAAGCAATTTGGTTGTGCTTCGTACACCCCACAGACAATGACCAACTCAACCACCCAAAGTTTCCAACAGGTTGGAACATTCACTAGTTTGAAATATTAATGAGCTCACAATATGTTTAGATGTTGCAATGTTTCAAGAGATAGCGGAGTCCAAGATATGGAAAACAATCCAGATGCCCCACTACGGATGAATGGATCCAAAAACTGTGGTACCTGTGGATTACTAGGCAGCCTTTAGAAAAGGACAAAATAAAGGCATCATGGGGAAATGGATGGAGCTAGAGCAAATCATTTTGAGTGAGGAAAGCCAAGACCATAGAGACAAAGGACACATGGTCTCCTTGATGTATGGATGTTAAATCCACAATGCAAGGAGATATGACAAAGGACTCAAGAAACAATGGGTACCTACTTAACTCGTCATATAATTTCCAAGTGACTATATGTTCTTGACCTCATATATGGTATATGTATGTGCACATCTGAGGGAAGCTAGGAGGAAGGCACAGAATCAGGGGGAAATGGGAAAAAATACAACAGAGGGGCCATCATCATCACTGGACAGTGATGAAAATGAACTAAGCAACTCAGGGGCAGTGATGGGAAGGAGGGAAGGAGAGAGAAAGAGGGAACCGCTGACACTAAGCAATGTACAGATCATCCAACATGGAAGAAATAGTTGTACTGTCAATGCTTGGAGAATGCACCAACATTATGGACCATGATAATGACAACGTGCCTTGTGAAGGCTAAAATGTGTTTGTGACTTTAAGTATCACTATCCCACAATACTGTGAAATCTGAGATTTAATCATTTAATCTCAATTTAAAATTTATTTTAAAAAAAGTGGACTAAATAATAAATTGTGGCGATTAAACTCTCCATTTATTTTTATTTTTTCCCTTTATTTTTGCAGTGCTGGGAATGCACCCCAGGAGCGTGTGCATGCTAGGCAAGCAATCTATCTCTAGTGACGTTCCCCCAAACTTTCCCGTGTATTGGGTGCTACTGGGGTTTGAGCTCAGGGTTCCTTACTTGCTAAGCAGGTGCTCTACCCCACACTGCCTGCCTCTCTGGAACGTTAGAGAACATTAAGTTACGCCTCTGCTCCCTGAGAGCCGAACTGGAGGAACGCAACGTACTTTGGAAGAAATCTTTGAGCTCTGACTTGTCCACCTCATGGGGCAGGTTGCCAATGAAGAGTTGGTGACTGTCGGGGTGTCGCACAATCCTTCGGGGCTCCACATCGCCTTGCTCACCGGCTTCTCGGACTGAAGAAAAGATGAAGTCAAGAGATGGGAACACACCCTTTTTTCAGGAACATTCTCTCCCAAAAGGCTTTTACCGGGGCTGAGAAGGTGGCTCAGTTGTAGAGCGCTTGCCTTGCATACTTGAGGCCCTGGGTTCGATTCCTCACATAAGCAAAAAGAAAAAAGCCGGAAGTGGCTCTGTGGCTCAAGTGGACAGCGCCCAGGCCCAGAGTTCAGGTCCCACAACTGGACCCCAAAAAAAAAAAGGCTTTCCCTCTGCCCTGACAATGGGCAATCCCATCTTCCCTGGAGTTAAACAGCAACACCCACACACACACACACCAATCACCCTAAAAACAAGTCCGAGCACTTACTTGGCCGGGGACCCCTGTGGGGAGGGATATTTATTCGTTGTTCTCGAACTCTCTGATCCCTCTGAGGTCTCTGTGGTGGAATTTGAGATTCGGGCTTCGATTCTGGACGGGGCTAAAAAACAAAAACAAAAACAATTAACTTTTGGGTTGGAGGGGAAGTAACTTCATCTCTCTTTCTTGTGAAGTTTCTTAATAATAAATGTGACACTAGAAAGGGCTATTTGAACCACAAAAGTAATCATTTTAAAGACACCTTTGCCTGCTTGCCCCTCTTCCCTATATAATCTATTACACTTCCTGACCTCATCCCTCCCAGGCCTTGCCCCCCCCGCCCCGCCCACCAGGTGCCTTACCTGTGAGGCTGGGACTTTGACGACATGGGGTGGAATGCCAGTAACCGGAACAGCTCCACTGGGAGGGAGGTTCTTACTGGTCACAGAAGCCCAAGAAAATGTCTGAGGGGAAACGTTACATGCTTACATACATCAGAGCAATATACATCACTGTCTCGTTTACTCTCTTTTCTCAAAGTAACTAGCAGCGAAGGGTGCTGCCCCTGAGCTTTTTTTTGTTAGTGGTGGTCATGGAGCTTTTACTCAGGACCTGGACCCTATCCCTAAGCTCTTCCACTTAAGGCTAGACTCTACCACTTTTGAGCCACAGCTCCACTTCCGATTTCAGAGTAGTTAATTGGATGTTAAGAGTCTCATGGACTTTCCAGCCTTGGCTGGCTTCCAACCATCATCCTCAAAATTCTGCTTTCTGAGTAGTTAGGATTACAGGCATGAGCCACTGGTTCCTGGCCTTGATAAATTTTCATGCACGCAAACAAATGGCTTTGACCATATTCCCTCCCTCATTGTCTTTGTCCGCCCTTCCACTTCGTACCTCACCCCTAAGGCCTTATTTTACTTTCCTGTCATTCTGTACAGTGTGCATTAATTGACCCAAGAAACAGGTTTCTTGGTGGTATTTTCAGACATAGCTATCCTGTATATAATAGTTGCATCAGCCCTCATAGACAGGACAGACGGGACAGTCACTGGTCAAGGCCAGCTGGGACTATCGCATGACCCTGTCTTTATAATACAACAACAACACAAGAAGTGAAGGTACTGCTTAAGTGGTAGAGCACTAGCCTTGAGATCAAACAGCCCAGGCCCTGAGATCAAGTCCCAGGGTGGGCACAAAAAACACAATCAATAAATCCTGGAGAAAAATATCTATTATCTGCCAAATATAGAAGGCCACAGCAGTGGCTTTCAGTCAATTTCAGCCTTATGAATCAAAATTATCCGTGAGCTCTTCCTACTATGGTAGAAGCGTGCAGTTGCTTTAGTAGTATCTTCAATACTTTTCAATCTATGTGAAAATCACAGGACTTGTTATTCCACCAAGTAATCTTCTCTCTCCATCTCCACTGCTAAGAATCTAATCCAAGTCAACACCATCTCCTGGTTGGGCTAGCTCATTCACTTAACTGCCCTCCTTCCTCACCCAATCACCTACTTTCTTACCTGTTTAACTGGCTGTCAGACAGCAAGAACCCACACAAATATTGCCTACATTAACAATAATTGAAGAAATGACATCATTAAAAACCACCCTGACCTGACCCAATAGCCAGAAGGCTGAGGTAGCTCATGGCCTGTAATCCTAGCTTCTCAGGAGGATCTAAGAGATGGCTGTTTGAAGCAAGCCCCAGCAGCAAAGTCTTTGGAACTCTTTATCTTCAAGTAAGCATCTAAAAAGCCAAAAGTGGAGCTGCGGCTCTAGCCTTGGCAAAAAAAAAAAAACTCAAGGACAGCAGCCAGGACCTGAGTTCAAGCCTCAGGACTGGCACAAAAGGAAAAACAAAAAAAAACTTGACCCTATAAAGCACTAAATAAACTGTTCTCAGAACATCAACTTATAATGTTGTGACCTCAAGTACAATACTCTCCCCCCATAGGACTTAACAAATCAAACTTTTTTTTTTTGGGGGGGGGGGTCTGGTCGTGGGGCCTGAACTCTGGGCCTGGGCACTGTCCCTCAGCTCTTCAGCTCAGGGCTAGCGCTCTACCACTTGAGCCACAGTGCCACTTCTGGCTTTTTTTTTGCTTATGTGGTGCTGAGGAATCAAACCCAGGGCCTCATGCTTTCAAGGCAAGCGCTCTACCATTGAGCCACCTTCCCAGCCCAAGTCAAACTTTTGAAAACAAGTTTCTTAATTAGAAAAGCAATTACATTTGAGTTGTTTGTCTATGTTAGTAAAGATTTCCTCAATTGGCTTTTATTGTATTTACTTAAAACTTAGGCAGTAACAATTTACAATGTAACATGAAAATATCAGGGCTGGGAGTGTGGCTTAGTGGGTACAGTGCTAGCCTAGCATGCATGAAATCCTGGGTTCGATTCCTCAGTAACACCTAAACAGAAAAAGCTAGAGAAGTGGCTATGGTTCAAGTTGGTAGAGTACTACCCTTAAGCAAAAGCAGCTTAGGGACAGTGCCTAGGTCCCAAGTTCAAGCCCCAGGACTGGCAAAAAAAAGGAAAAAAAAAAACCACTTACAACTTAAGTAGTAACAATTTACAACCTAAGATATGAAAATGTCAAGGTTGGGCATATAGCTTAGTGGTAAGAGTGCTTGCCTAGCATGCACAAAGCTCTGGGTTTGATTCCCTATTACCACATAAACAGAAAAAGCCAGAAGTGGTGCTGTGGCTTAAGTGGTAGAGTGCTAGCCTTGAGCAAAAAGAAGCCCATGGACAGTACCCAGGTCCTGAGTTTAAGTCTGAGAATTAGCATGTGCTCATGCACACACACACAAAAGATGAAAATGTCAAGTGTGGAGTGGGAATAAAAATGGCACTTGGAATTTCTAAGAAGCATTTAAAGTGCCCTCTAGAAGGAGTCTCAGGGCATTACTGTAGATGATACCAAGAAATATGCATCAGATCTCTTGTGATCTGAAACACAACTCAATGTGTAAGAAAATTTCCTGGAACCACCAATACGAAATACATCTAAGAAAACGTCATCTAAGCCATTGTTAGGGAGATTTTTTTTTTTCTAAAAATAAACTACGGGGGAGAGAGGGGACGGTAGTTGTGGAGATGGGAGGGAAGGCTTGATAAGAAGTGTACTCATTACTTTGCTCATGTGATTGTAACCCCTCTGTATAGTATTTTCACAATAAAAAACGTATTTAAAAAAATAAAATAAAAATAAATAAACTACAGAGGCTAGGGATGTAGCTCAGTGGTAGAGTGCGTGCCTGGCACGCACAAGGCTCGGGGTTCAATTCCCAGCAATACAACACAATGAATAAACAAACTGCCCCAACTGTAGTGAGAGCCGTACCCTCAGGTCTTCCTGGGCTGTCTGCACAGCATCCGCGGGGGCGGGAGAGGAACTTGGCCGCGCAGCCTCAGCAGCAGTTTCTTCCAATACCGGCTCAGCCTTTTCCTCTTGGATTTCAGACACTGGTTCTTGCTCTGGTTCTGGTTCGGGGTCAGGCTCAGGCTCAGCGACAGGCTCCTCTATATGTTCTTCCAAGTCATTGCTTTTGTGGAAAAATGAGAAATATCATCCTGCCTCCCCTTGACTCAGTAAACTAGAAATTCCCCACCATTTATTCACTCTCCAAAACTAGCTCTCAGGACTAGCATTTAGCTCAGAGGATGAGTTCAAGCTCAGCCAGGCCCTGGGCTGGACCAAGAAAAAAATATTTACCTTTATCCAAATAGATCTAAGAGAAAAATTACATGAGCTTAAAAGATATAATTGAAATAAAACACCTAATTAACAAGCCTTAAAGGAAGTAAGGTAATGAGCTAAATTCCAATAAGCAACTGAGACAAATCAAAACACATCTGCAACTGTGTCTCAGTTTCATTATAACTTACTTACCAATGTAGTACAATCCAGATCTCCTATCTAGTATGCTGGGGACATGGAAAGGAAGTTGCTCTCCTCAACAGGCATAGTTCTTTTAGCAAGATGGATGAAAACTTGTGGCACATCACTGAATATTATAGTTAATATTACAGTACTACCATACTTAAAATGTTAGGAGATGGGCTGGAAAGGTGGTTCAGTGGTAGAGCGCTTGCCTTGCATGCCTGAGTCCCTGGGTTCGATTCCCCAGCACCACATAAGCAAAAAGAAAAAAGCCGGAAGTGGCGTTATGGCTCAAATGGTAGAGTGCTAGCCTTGAGCTGAAGTTCAAGCCCCACGACTGGACCAAAAAAAAAAAAAAAAGTTAGGAGATGACTTCTAGCATGGAAAAGGCTCTATTAAAAAAAAATAATAATTAAGCCAGGCGCTGGTAGCTCACGCCTGTAATCCTAGCTACTCAGGAGGCTGAGATCTGAGGATCACAGTTCAAAGCCAGCCCAGGCAGGAGAGACCGTGAGACTCCTATCTCCAATAAACCACCAGAAAACCGGAAGTGGCGCTGTAGCTCAAGCAGTAGAGCGCTCGCCTCGAGCTGAAGAGCTGAGGGACAGTACCCAGGCCCAGAGTTCAAGCCCCACGACCGACAAAAAAAAAATAATAATAATAATAATAATAATTGCTGGGCACCAGTGGCACATGCCTGTAATCCTAGCTACTCAGGAGGCTGAGATCTGAGGATCACAGTTCAAATCAAGCCCAGGCAGGAAAGTCCATGAGACTCTTATCTCCAATAAACAACTAAAAAACCAGACGTGGTGCTGTAGCTCAAATAGTAGAGCGCTAGCCTTTAGCTGAAGAGCTGAGGGACAGAGCCCAAGCCCAGAGTTCAGGCTCCATGACTAACAACAACAACAACAACAAATCAAAAGCCAAGCACTGGTGGCTCACACCTGTAATCCTAGCTACTCAGGAGGCTGAGATTTAAGGATCACAGTTCAAAGCCAGCCCCCCGTGAGCCTCTTATAAACCACCAGGAAACCTGAAGTGGCGCTGTGGCTCAAGTGAACTGAAGAGCTGAGGGACAGCATTCAGGCCCAGAGTTCAACTCCTATGACCACCAACAACAAATCACAAAGAAATTTGACAGAATAAAGACATTAGCAGAACTGCTGGGCATCAATGGCTCATCCAATAGCCCTCACTACTTGAGTATGAGACCTAGGATTATATTTAGAAGCCAGCCTAAAGCAGAAAAGCCTCTAAGACTGGTCCCTAATCAGCTAGCAAAACGCTGGGCTAGAGGCATGGCTCAAGAGGACCAGCCTAGGACCAGCCTAGCTAATCCAAGCACCAGACCAAAAATAAATAGAAGTATTAAATGTCCACCTAAATCACAAGGAATACAATTGAGACTAGACAATTTTCCTCCTGAAATTCAAACTCATTAGATTATAATCGTCACTGCTAACCAATGACACAAGTGCACTATGATGTGGTTTCACCACTGCCCTGCCTGCATAAGTCCCTAAGTGCAGGGGATCACGGGATAGCAATCCACATCACCAGTCCTCCAACTACAAGGAAAGAAAAAAGCCTAAAATAGCAACGCCACACTCACTGCAGGAGGTGAGGAGGCTGGTCTCTCAGAGCGTCCTGCCATGGCCTCCCTGGCTCTGGGATTACACGTGCAACAGCACGATGCTCAGCCCAGGAAATCCTCAACTCCAACTTGCCTCACAGGCTTGAGTGTCTCCCATCATTATTTACTAAGTGAGCACGTGACCTAGGCATTGAGGACCATATCCTCAGTGGCAGGTGAAAGCAGGAGGATCCAGAGTTCGAGTCCAGCCTGGGCTACATAGCAACAGATCTCAAAAAGACTGAAAGAATCAAAAGGCAAGTGCTTCTTTTCAAACAGGTTTCAGCGTGCACTGCTAATAAGCAAGTTATATTTTTATAGATATTTAGTCAGATATAACAATGAAACCTTTCTCCTAGAAAGTCATCACTGTTTTCAAAGATTACTTTTCTGATGTTTGTTCTGTTGGAGAACAACAAAAAAGAAAAAAACTTGGGCTGGGAAGGTAGCTCAGTGGTAGAGTGCTTGCCTTGCATGCCTGAGGCCCTGGGTTCAAGTCCTCAGCACCAAATAAGCAAAAAGAAAAAAGCCAGAAGTGGTGCTGTGGCTCAAGTGGTAGAGCGCTAGCCTTGAGCTGAAGAGCTGAGGGACAGCGCCCAGGCCCAGAGTGCAGCCCCCACAACCGGACCCCCCCAAAAAAAGAAAAAGAAAAAACCTAAGAAACTCAGCTCAAATTGCACTCCTGGACAGATGCACAAAGAATGTTCCTTACTTGACTGCCTGTTCATAGAAAGCTCCAGAATCATCAGGAACAACTTCTGGTGTCTGCTGTCTTTCTTCAGGTTCTTCTACTTCTTCCTCAGATTCTAAATGAGGAAAAAGATACAAAATAACTTTTGCTTATTGAATTCAAATACCTTTAAGTTGTCCACTATGGTCAAAAGGAAGGTGAAATCACACAGGTACAGGTACACAAACACACACACAGGTACACACACACACACAGACACAGACAGACACAGACACAGACAGACACACACACACACAGACAGACACAGACAGACACACAGACAGACAGACAGACACACACACACACACACACACACACAACCTGGAAGCATGAGAACTGGTAACATCATGGCATAGACGTTAATAGAGTTTATGTTTTGGTTAAGAACCTGGAATCAATATTGTATTCTCCACCTAGACACCGGTGGCTCACACCTGTAATCCCAGCTACTCAGGAGGCTGAGATCTGAGGACAGCAGTTCAAAGTCATCCCGGGGAAGGAAAGTCTGTGAGACTATTACCTTCAATTAACCACCTGAAAACCCTAAGTGGAACTGTGGCTCAAAGTGGTAGAGCACTAGCTTTGAGCGACTCAGAAACAACCAGCACCCAGGCCCTGAGTTCAAGACCCACGATGAACAAGTAACCTAATGCAAGTCTTAGAACCTTAGGTAAACAACTCAAATCTGTGCCCTAATCTACTTCGTGGGAGAACTGCAGCTTACAGGACGAGTCCGCCCAGGGTGTGTGGGACACAGAAACAAACACAAAGCACTGGGGTGGGCTACGCAGGAATCACTCAAGTACTACCACGCATGCGCCATCCCCATGTGTGTTTTTCTGTACGTTCCACCTTAGCCTTCTATCTTTTCTCTACTACATTTCAAGAACATATACATAGTATACAGCTTTAGAAACCTAGTTATTTTATTATTATTACTTTACTATTACCAGCCACTGTGTGAGACTGGTAAGGGATCTTCCCATGGCAAGTACCATACATCCATTAACACAGCTCCCCGGGCTAACGCCACCTACAGGCCGTCTGCATGGTGGCACCCACTGTGGCTATAATAATCGGCCACTTCTGGCCGTTCAACCCAGGAGGGCCGAGGGTCACCCAACACCCATGGAGTGAGATGACCTATGAACTGTAACTAAGGCGACATTTGAAAAGCCTCATGTCCTGAACAAACATTAGCTATCAATAAAGAACAGAGGGTATAATTAAAGATGTGCCTGTGGACCGGGCGGCATGGCTCCAATGGTACAGTGCCCACCTACCAAGTGCCAGGCCCAGATTCAAATCCCAATACTGAAACACAGTCACGAAAGCCCTATTCTCTCAAGGTCTGCCTTGATGTCAGTAAGGAAAGAGTCTAAGTAAATAACATATGATGTTATACTCACCTTCCTGAGGCTCAGTAACAAAGCCACCGAAGACCTCATCTTGGTATCTGAAGATATCATTATGAACATAGAATTTATTGGCAACAGAGCCCTGCAATACCAACAAGAGGTTTTTTGTTACTTATCGGACGGGCTTGTAAGAAGCCTGTGGTTGGGGCTGGGAAGGTGGCTCAGTGGTAGAGCGCTTGCCTTGCATGTCTGAGGCTCTGGGTTCGATTCCTCAGCCCCACATAAGCAAAAAGAAAAAAGCCGGAAGTGGTGCTGTAGCTCAAGTGGTAGAGCACTAGCCTTGAGCTGAAGAGCTGAGGGACAGCGCCTAGGCCCAGAGTTCAGGCCCCACGACCGACAAAAAAAAAAATGTGTGGGGACATCACAGCCTTCATGACTGGGAAGGGATAGGACACTACTGAGCAGAGAATAAGAGATGCTGCCAAAGCTCATGAGGGCCCCAAAACAAAAACGAAGAGTGACTCCATCACAATGATGTTCAAAACACGGACCCTTACCACCACCGACAGCCAAAGACTGATGAAACTTCAAAGTGTGTCAGATGCCAGAAGCCACCATCTCAAATCATTAGGCAATCACACCCCCAATTTCCACACAGGATTGCCATTCCCAGGGTCTTCCCTGGGAAGATCCAAATAGTCTTGGCCAGTATGGCTGAGATTGCAAGCTCACCCATGTCCAACCTAACAATTCCATGTTCTAGTGACTCAGATTCTCTTTTTTGTTGGTGGTGGTGGTTGTGGGACTTGAAAACTCAGGGCCTGGACCCTATCCCTGAGCTTCTTTTGCTCAAGGCTAGCACTCTACCACTTGAGCCATAGTGCTACTTCCAGCTTTTTCCGTTTATCTGGTACTAAGGAATCGACCCCAGGATTTTATGCATGCTAGGCAAGCACTCTACCACTAAGTCACCTTCACAGCCCCTGGTGATTTAAGTCTCTAAGGCCACTGTCCCATGAGTAAGGGAAGGGTTGTTCACACATAACCCCAGTGCTGATCTGGGCGTTGAGATGACTTACATCACCTTACTGTTGAACTCTGGTAAAGTTCCACGCTCCTCTATGAGGAGTGAGCTGTAATTAAATCTTTAATTGACAACACTACTCCATATGATTCTCTGTGTATTTACAATCTTCTGCACAGCGAGGAGGCCATCAAGTCTGTACACATAATTTTCTTATCTCACCATGTAGTCCCAGGCTAGCCTGGAGCTCCTGAGCCTCCCTGTGCTTCTCAAGTGCTGACATTACAGATGTCTTTATACTTTACTATGAGCCTTCCTTTCAAAATCCTGACTTCAGGGACTGCTCTTGGGAGGCTGATCAAGTTCAAGGCTACATAGGGGGACTGTCTCGCTCATGCAAGCAAGCACAGAAATTACTACAGTAACTTCAAAGAGTCAATTTGCTATCAAACATAGAAAATTGGCTAGACACCAGGGGCTCATGCCTGTAATCCTAGCTACTCAAGAGGCTGAGATCTAAGGACCAGTGTTTAAAGACAGCCTAGGCAGAAAGTTACCCATGAGAATTTTTTTTTTTGGGGGGGGTGTCCGGTCGTGGGGCCTGAACTCTGGGCCTAGGCGCTGTCCCTCAGCTCTTCAGCTCAAGGCTAGCGCTCTACCACTTGAGCCACAGCACCACTTCCCACTTTTTTTTTCTTTTTGCTTATGTGGGGCTGAGGAATCGAACCCAGGGCCTCAGGCATGCAAGGCAAGGGCTCTACCACTGAGCCACCTTCCCAGCCCATCCCATGAAAATCTTATCTCCAATTAATGACTCAGAATCTGGAAGTGGAGTGGTGGCTCAAAATAATAAAGTACTAGCCTTGAGCAAAAAGAGCTCAGAGACAGCACCCAGGTCCTGAGAAGTACAAACCTCATCTGGGGGGGAGGGGGGGCAGGGGACAGAAAATTGTTTTTTT